AAGAGCTTACCATCAGGGGAGACCAAGTAAATGAAACTTTGTATTATTTCTTACAATTGCATGTGAATCTATAATTATCTCGAAATCAAAACTTAATTTAGACAAAATTATTTGAGTGTCCCCTATATGCATAGTACAGCTGAGGAAATACAAAGGTAAATAAGATGGTTTACTGCACTTGAAATTACAGTTTATTATGGGGATAAACATATATATATAAATAAATTTTAAGGCAAAAAATTTATGTCAGGAGTATTTTAAAATACAGTTAGACTTAGCCTGACCACTTCACAACCACTAGGATAGCTATTATCAACAACAGAAAAAACAAAGCTAAAATATAGTAAGTGTTGGCAAGGGTATAAAGAAACTGGAAACTGTGTGTGCTGTTGTTGGGGATGTAAAATGGTACAGTCATTGTAGAAAACAGTACAAAATTCCCTTCAAAAATTAAAAATAGAATTGCCATATGATCCAGAAATCCAGCTTCTGGGTATAAATCCAAAAGAATTGAAAGAAAGGCCTTGAAGAGCTATTTGTACACTCGTTCATAGCAGCATTATTCATAATAACTAAAACAAAAAAGCAACCCAAGCATCTATCAAATGATGAATAGATGAGCAAAATGTAGTATATTCATACAATGGAATATTATTCAGCCTTAAGATAGAAATTCTGTAATATAACACTGATGAACCTTGAGGACATTATGCTAAGTGAAAAAAGCAGTCACAAAAAGACAAATACTTGGCACAAAAACAGACACATAGATCAGTGGAACAGAATAGAGAGCCCAGAAATGGACCCTCAACTCTACGGTCAACTAATCTTCGACAAAGCAGGAAAGAATGTCCAATGGAAAAAAGACAGTCTCTTCAACAAATGGTGCTGGGAAAATTGGACAGCCACATGCAGAAGAATGAAACTGGACCATTTCCTTACATCACACACAAAAATAGACTAAAATTGGATGAAAGACCTAAATGTGAGACAGGAATCCATCAAAATCCTTGAGGAGAACACAGGCAGCAACTTCTTTGACCTCAGCCACAGCAACTTCTTCCTAGAAACATAGCCAAAGGCAAGGGAAGCCAGGGCAAAAATGAACTATTGGGACTTCATCAAGATAAAAAGCTTTTGCACAGCAAAGGAAACAGTCCACAAAACCAAAAGACAATTGACAGAATGGGAGAAGATATTTGCAAATGACATATCAGATAAAGGGCTAGTATCCAAAATCTATAAAGAACTTATCAAACTCAACGAACCCAAAGAGCAAAAAATCCAATCAAGAAATGGGCAGAAGACATGAACAGACATTGCTGCAAAGAAGACATCCAAATGGCCAAAAACACATTAAAAAGTGCTCAACATCACTCAGCATCAGGGAAATCCAAATCAAAACCTCAATGAGATACCACCTCACACCAGTCAGAATGGCTAAAATTAACAAGTCAGGAAACGACAGATGTTGGCGGGGATTGCGGAGAAAGGGAAACCCTCCTACACTGTTGGTGGGAATGCAAGCTGGTGCAGCCACTCTGGAAAACAGTATGGAGGTTCCTCAAAAAGTTGAAAATAGAGCTACCCTATGACCCACCAATTGCACTACTGGGTATTTACCCCAAAGATACAAATGTAGTGATCCAAAGGGGCACATGCACCCCAATGTTTATAGCAGCAATGTCCACAATAGCCAAACTATGGAAAGAGCTTAGATGTCCATCAACAGATGAATGGATAAAAAAGATGTGGTATAGGGGTGCCTGGGTGGCTCAGTCATTAAGCGTCTGCCTTTGGCTCAGGTCATGATCCCAGGGTCCTGGGACTGAGTCCCACATCGGGCTCCCTGCTCGGTGGGAAGCATGCTTCTCCCTCTCCCATTCCCCCTGCTTGTGTTCCCTCTCTCGCTGTGTCTCTCTCTGTCGAATAAATAAACAAAATCTTAAAAAAAAAAAAAGGAAGATGTGGTGTATATATATATATATATATATATATATATACACAGCCAAAAAAAAAATGAAATCTTGCCATTTGCCACGACGTGGATGGAACTAGAGGGTATTATGCTAAGTGAAATAAGTCAATTAGAGAAAGACAAGTATCATATGATTTCACTGATATGAGGAATTTGAGAAACAAGGCAGAGGATCATAGGGGAAGGGAGGGAAAAATGAAACAAGACAAAACCAGAGAGGGAGACAAATCATAAGAGACTTAATCTCAGGAAACAAACTGAGGGTTGCTGGAGTGGAGGGGGGTGGGAGGGATGGGGTGGCTGGGTGATGGACATTGGGGAGGGTACGTGCTATGGTGAGTGCTGTGAATTGTGTAAGACTGATGAATCACAGACCTGTACCTCTGAAACAAATATATGTTAATAAAAAAAAGACAAATACTGTATGAATCCACTTACATGAGGTGCTTAGAGTAGTAAAGCACAATGATGGTTGCCAGGGGCTGGGGAAAAGGGAAAATAAGGAGTTATTGTTTAATAGAGTTTAAGATCTACAAGATGTAAAGAGTTATGGTGGTGATGGCTGCACAACAATGTGAATGTATTTAATACCAATGAACTGTACACTTAAAAATGGTTAAGATAGAAAAGGTTATGTGTATTTTAACATAATAAAAGAAAAAATAGGAAAAATAATATGAGAATAGTAAAGAAACTACAAAACTTGAAGTAAACATCCTTAAAATGTTTAAAAATTAATATAAATCACTTTCAACTTTATATATTGTACTTCTAAGGGTAATGATTTTAAGGCTTAAAGAAAATTACTGGTACTGGTACATATCCTACTTGGTCATGGTGTATTATTATTTGAATAAGCTTTGGGATAATATTTCTGGCATTTCATTTTAATATTGTTTCATTTGCAATGACATGTATTACTAATTTTCCAATTTGAAAAGAGCAAGTAAAAAATATTTTTAAAGAAAAAATTAAGGACATGTTTTTTGAATTTTTACAGTGAAAATCTATTCATGAGTTACTTCCATCATTAAAAAATTCTTGCTAAATAAGAAAAATAATTTAAAGGAAGAGTCAGAAAATTCTTGCATATACCACTTCATTAATAAAATATTAACAGTGGATTCTTACAGAAACCAACAGACACATGAAACAGTAGACTAACAAAATAAAAAAACTGGAAATGTAAAGATGACCAAAATTTGTTGACTTTTTAAAAAGTTTTTAAATTCCAGTTCATTAACATACAGTGTAATATTAGTTTCAGGTGCACAATATAGTGATTCAACACTTCCATATAACACCCAGTGCTCATCACAGTAAGTGCACTCCTTAATCCCCATTACCTATTTAACCCATCCCCCCACCCACCTCCCTTCTGGTCACCATCAGTTTGTTATCTATAGTTAAGAGTCTGTTTCTTAGTTTGCCTTTCTCTCTTTTTTTCCCCTTTGCTCATTTGTTTTGTTTCTTAAATTCCACATATGAGTGAAATCATATTGTATTTGTCTTTCTCTGACTTATTTCACTTAGTATAATGCTCTCTAGCTCCATCCATGTCATTGCAAATGGCAAGATTTCATTCTTTTTTATGGCTGAGTAATATCCCATTGTATATATATGCCACATCTTTATCCATTCATCCATTGGTGGACACTTGGGCTGTTTCTATAATTTGGCTACTGTAGATAATGCTGCGACAAACATGGGAATGCATGTATCCCTTTGAATTAGTATTTTTGTATTATTTGGGTAAATTCAATTACACTGTGCAACTTGTCTACATATCCTTTAGGAGCCAAGCTCCAGTGATCTCTCCAGATACATCTCTGGCCACTTTCACCTGTGCATGCTACAGTGGCCATTGCAAATCACTTACTATTCACTCGAGAATTCATTTATAACTCCATACCATTGTCTATGTTGTTGTTCTCTCTGAATAGGATGCCTCCTCCCCTTGGAGCACAGCAGTATATCCTTGTGAACTCCTCCCTGACACCCATAGGCCAATTAGGAATTCCCTCTCTCAAACCTTGAATATTTTTTATTAGTATAATATTCATACCAAACAATTTGTATCTCAATACTGGGAGGTCCTTGAGGGCAAGGGCCTCTCTTTTTCTTTTTCTCTTTTCTTTTTTTTTTCCTTCCTTCCTACCTTCCTTTCTTCTTTCTTTCTTTCTTTCTTCTTCTTTTTTTTTTTGAGTATAGATGACACATGATGGTACATTAGCTTCAAGTGTACCACATAGTGGTTCAACAACTCTATATGTTAGGCTATGCTCACCACAAGTGTAGCTACCATCTGTCACCATGCAAGCCTATTACAAAACCATTAACTATATATTCCCTATGCTGTACCTTTTATCACCATGATTTATTCATTCCATAACTGGAAGCCTGTATCTCTCACTCTCCTTCACCCATTTTGCCCATCCCCCCACCATTCCCTTCTGGCAAACATTATTTTGTTCTCTGTATTTATGGGTTGGATTATTCATGTTTTGTTTTATAGATTCTACATATAAGTGAAATCATATGGTATTTGTCTTTCTCTGATGTATTTCACTTAGCATAATATCCTCTAGGTCCATCCATGTTTTGAACCTTATGTTCACGGTGGCAAGCACAATGTCAGTAGATACAATCAAATGAATTACAGCTTAAAAGAACCCAACAAGTTAAATAAATTTAGCTTATCATCAACTTAATATCATTAAAGTTATAATTTAGCTGAATAAACCTCAACTTCATAGTTCTTTGCTGATTGCTATGTTAATGTGTTTTATAATTCTTCTGGCTAAAAGTAAATGCAAATTACATAAAGGAAAAGTTTCTGTTACTTTCTTGAATTGTTGGAATACAGCTGTCATCAATTTATCTTTTGGACTTTAGAAATAAAATCTAAAGTTGATAGACATGGTTTGATGTAATATTTAAAAAAAAGTTTGATTTTCTAAAATTGTAGTAATTTTATAGTAACAATAACATTAAAAGAACCATTTAAAAATGTATAACATACCATTTCTATTTCTTGATCTTTGGCAACCAGCTGTCGATTAAGAAGTTCTTTGCTTGAGTCAAGTTTAATACAAAGTTCCCTTGTGGAAGATAAATCTGCAAGGGCAGACACTTTTTCAAACTGAACCTTCTGAAGTTCCTCTTCCATCTTTACAACAGACTTGTGTAAGGTAGAAATCTGGGACTTATAAGACCTTTCTGCATTTAAGTGCTGCAACGACAAAATTATTATTTTATATATATACATACATGCATACATATTTTTTAATTTGAAAAAACTAAAACATGGAAAACAAAGTGGGGAAAATCTTTTGATGATACACTTAGATTATAAGGAACTTTATACAATATAGGTGGTAATAGTATGTACAAAACACCCTGGGAAAGACAAACTCAGCTGATTTCAAATGTCTATACATAAAATCCATGAGTAAGTTGATCAACTGGCCATTATTTTTAATGTGTTTAGAAAACAACTTCTCCCCCTGTAAAGTCTCAAACCAAAAGCTAGTTGAGATACATACATGTTTGGTCTGTAGTTCTATTTTTGCCACAGTTTCATTTATTCTATAAGATAAATATTATTGTTGTTAAAGACAAAACATTAGCCACCACTGTTTCACTCATAATACCCATTTTCCAATTCTTAAATGGCATGTTGACCTAGATCATAATATCATAAAATGAGGACTGATAGCTCTCTAGCAATTATTAATAACTCTGAGGGAAAAAGACTCTAGGCAAGTATAAATTAAGGATAAATCCACATTATGGGAAATAAGAGCATGTTTTAAAAACTGCACGATGAGATTCAAGTTATATAAATGCTTTTAAAAGTTCAAGATAATACCACTCCTTTTTTTTGTTTCAGAGAAATATCTTATGTAAGTGCACTGCCACCTACAGAGAAGTTTTTGCTATTATGTGAAGCTGACAGAACTGAGAGACAAAGAAATTTTCCTGCTTTTACAAGTACATAGCACAAAAAAAATTGCTCCTAGAATAAGTTATTTGGCACAGTTCTCCCTCCCTTCCTTCCTCACTCACTCTATTTCTCACTCATTCTTCAAACAACCTTCTATCCACCCATCCACCCATCCATCTATCCACCCATTCCATATATTTTTTTTTTTTTAAAGATTTTATTTATGTATTTGAGAGAGAGAGAATGAGAGATAGAGAGCACGAGAGGGAAGAGGGTCAGAGGGAGAAGCAGACTCCTGCTGAG